TAATATAAAAAGTATGGTTAGTAAGAAAATGGCTTAATGAAAAATATAAGCTAATTATATAGAGAAAATAGAGTTTTTAAAAAAAATTCAGTCTAAATTGATACTGTTGACATAGAAGAGATTATTTTTAATTTATTTTGTAATCCTTGTTATTTTACTTATCTAAACATACATACTCTCTTTTAAATTCTGCTTATACATTTCTTAAACGTTGATCAAGAAGTGTTTTTTATTTATTAGCGTAAATATAATTTTTTTAATTAGAATTAAAAATAAGTTTTAATTTAAAAATTTTTTACTTAATTTAAAATTCCATTAATTTTGAATCAATATTTTAATCTTAAAAAATAAAAATTCTAAAAAAATAAAAAATGTCTAAAACATATTTTTTCTAATACAACATATTTTATAATACATTTTATGTAAATAATGAGAGCAAGTATAAAAATCTCTAAATATATAATTTGTTTTTAAAGACTTTTTTAAAAACTAATATTGAATAACTGGTTTAATGTAAAAATATTAAAAATAGGATTTCATTTACTATTTATTATTTTTAAAAAAATTATAATTTTTAATTTTAATGTATTTTTATTTTTTATAAACTTTTTTATGAAAAAACTAGCTTATAAAAATAAAATTATTCTTATTATCTATTTTCTAGATTATATTTATGACAAAAACCAATACTTTACATGATTCAATGATGATGCCTTATGATTTGACCCGGTTCCTAATAATTAAATTTTAGTTTTACTGTTTTATTTTCCATAGTTATTTAGCTTTTAATATTGTTTATGTCCTATTAATATATTCGTAAAAAATAATAACTTTTATAATAACATTATTATCAAAATCGAAATCATATAAATTGAAAAGTAATAACTCAAATTACATTCTGTTTAGAAAATATAATTTATGAGTCAAAGATAAAACTACTTTAATTAACATCAAATCGACTTAATAAGCTTAGAATTTTCAAGTTTATCATAGTCTTTGTACCCATTATAACATTCATTTTCCAGTATTGTACAATTAGTAGTAAGATCTTTAAAAATCTCTAATAAGTTATGACATTCATAAACATAAGGTGCACATTCTGCTAAACTAGGAGGTTCTCCTACATATAATAAGCCTCTTTCTAAATCATCACGCCTTGCTAAAAAATCATGAAATAATCTATCAAATAAGTTACCTGGGAAAGTTACAGAGGGGAGGGGGGGGTGATTAGGGGTGGGGTGCAAACACCATCTAAATAAGACTTCGTTAGTTCCTCCAAGCTCTGCACATATATCTAGAATATGCTTGTATATATGCTGATATAAATTAGAAGCAGCTGAAGATTGAGGTAGATTAGATTGATTAAAAATGCTAAAATCACTAGGTGATAATTTTTCTTCGAGTTTTTCCCAAAAATAATTTAAGTGAGATCTTTTTTTACTCAGTGTATAACATAGAGCTTTTACATTTTCACATGGACTTTTAATACCAGGACAACCAGGTCTAAAATAAGTGCATTCTTCTATTAACATTTGACATTGGGGTGTAGTGATATTGTTTGCTGTGCTGTTCCATAGTATAGTCCAAACGCCATTAGTAGAAGTAAGACCTAATTCTTCAAATGTTTTATTTAAATTGATACATGTTGTATTCATCCTTCTATCCATATCATTACATTCATCAGTATATCCACTCTTACAATATTCATGAAGATTAGGAAACATACCCAGAAGAGCCAAACAATTTTTTTTAATAAAATTCAAGCATCTTTCCTTTAAAGTAAGAGTAGATCTTTCTAGGGAAGAGAAAAACATTAAAAGAGGAGTAAGATATGGAGCTTTATGCGGTAATGAAACTCCACTTTTTTGTTTTTCATAAAAAAATCTAGTTAAATTTACGTTTTGAAACGTTGATTTGCATTCGCCTAAAGAAAGATTCTTTACGAAGCCCATATCTAGATCAGCTTTTGCGGAGCATTCTTCTATTATTGGCTTGCAAAGATTCTCTGTTGTTTTGTTATGACAGAGTAATAAATAATACTCACAAGCTCCAAGCAACGAACATTTATTTCTTGTTATCTTTTTCTTATAACCTGTAATATGTTCCTGTTTTTCTAAGAGAAAATTTTTAATATAAGAGTCCAAATATCGACAAGTTATGGTAGTACTTCGATTAAAGTGATTACATGTATCCGTTAATTGAGAACATGATTCTGCCATAGTAGGCCCAAAAGAGGTTATACAATGACATTTTTTAAGAAGAGTGTGAATACATTGGGTATATAGATGTTCATGTTCCAGTTCATTATTTTTCGATTCATTAGATAGTGCTTCTTTTCCTATAAATTCCAATAATACACTATCTTCAGTATCTTTAATATATTTTTTATAACAGAGATTATTAAATTTGCCACATAAATCGCTAATCAAACCATAGCAAACTCTTTGAAAAACTATACACAACGTTTCATAATTTTCGCAATCTTCTGCTTCTATTCTTGCATTCCATTCTCCTGTAAATAAAGTTTTACTTAAACTATAATAATAATATTTGAGTTTATCCTTTATACCATTACATTTTTTATCTAAGTCTTTTTTAATACGACCCTGAGTAAAGAGACCTTTGCAATAATTATTTCTTTTAGTTAAATTGCATAATTTCTTCAGTATATTGGTAAAATTTCCTCCCGGTAGCTTTTCTACGAGTTTTTCACATAAATATTCTAAATATGTTTTACATTTTTCTTCAGTTGTGATAGAATCATCTAAGATAAGACTATACATAGAAACATCATCACCTAAAACCATAAACCATGCAGATGAAGATAGTAAGTGTTTTGATAAGGAATCAGTTGATTCAGAATGTACTGATGGGCCATAACTCCTAATTTTTTTGAAGTAAATAAATTTAAGTTTTCTTTTGATTCTAAAAGATAAAAATTAAAAAAAAAACGAAAAAAAATAAAAATACCATAAGTATTAATACCTTTCGAAAAAGCATATGATATTGTGCTTAAAATCACAAAGATCACAAAGACAAAAGCCTTCATTTAGAAAGATGATATACTTTAGTTGTCTCCATTATGAATTTAGTATTAATATTATTAAATTTGGTTTCAGATTTTAGAATAAAAATACAAATTATTGAATGTTAAATTATTATCTTTAATTTAGTTTCCTAATTAGTTACAATATTTTTATAAAAATATAAAAAAATTTGATTTTTTACAAAAATTATAGTATGAAAAATACGACATTAAATATAATTTAAACTGTATTTTATTTCAAATAATAATATCATTTTTATGTATTTTATGTGTTTTTTATATTTTTTAATTTCAATTATTTTATTTTTCGTTTATCGTTTTAGCAAATTTGTTAAAATTTAATTTATCTTTAAATTCTTATAAATGGTTATATTTATGGAAAATTACTCTTTTATTTTTGTTTATTCTTTAGATTTGTTGTTTTATATTGTATTATTTTATTTTATCTTAAATATGATATTAAAAGAATCACTAAAAATGAAAAAATTGTAATCTCTTACGAGTTGAGGTGTCCGATATACTTTTTAATTGCGTCTAAGTCCCGCAATAATATGGGGTAACTGTGGAGTAAATAGAGAAGTAAATTTATTAGTGGATTATAAAAGTAGCGATAAATAACTGATAAAGAAACCATGAATTATAGAGAAATCTATTGTAAATCAATGAAAAGATACTACTCTTTATTTTATTTTCTAGTCTTTTCTGCTATTCTGCTTGCTTGTTTCTTTTAAATATACGTACCCTTTTTTATCCTTTTTCATCCATTCATCTTTTTAGATCATAACTGAAATAACTGCTACTATTACTACTTCTTTTGTTGGATTTCATTCATCCATTTCCAATTTTCTATTTTGCTTCATATCATTCGGTTATCTTCTTGTATATCTTGCGTAGATTTAGAGCCTTATCAATATTAACATTACAGTTAATAATAATTGCATATTTATTGCAAAAGTGTTGATACGTATTGATCTATATGTAACTCATGTGTTTGTTGTGTAAATTGTCGTGCATTTTCCCCTCCCCTTTCATATTTCTTGCTTTATCTGTCTTTATTATTGTCGTTTTTCTTTGTTAGTATTTTCTTGAGGATTTACTTTTAACAGCTTCAGTATTATAGATAGATAGTTTAATATGTTGCACATTCATTGGCTAAATATTTTTTTTGAAGCCAATTTCTTTTTGTAAATGACATTTCTTTTAATCTTAGATAAAGTAAATATATTTGCTACCAAACTAAATGTATATAGTTTTTTTCGTTTGTAATTTCATATTTTTTTTTAAAAGTTTAAATTAATATAAATTTATTAATTTAACAGATACATCTGGAATATTAAATGCATACTATTTTCTAATCTATTGTTTATTTCTTTTAGTGTAGACAAAATTTATTTTTTCTATCGAATTCCCTGTTTTTCTTAATATTCTCTTTAACTCTACTTGCATTTCTAAGTTCTATAATTCTAAATACTACCTATTTATTTATTTATTTCAACTATTTCTTACTTTTTTTCTAATTTAATCTTTCTTTTTTTATTTTTACATAAAGCATTAATCTGTTGAATGGCTTAGATCCATCATTTTTTGACTTTTTTTTTTTTTAATTTATGATTCGCTTTATTTTTAATATCTTCTTTTTGATAAATAATTCATATTTGTCTTTGATTTTTTCACAATCTATCCAGAATCTATATTGTCAACATTTGTTTGATTTTTGCAACACAAAATGAATTTATTACAATACAATTCCAAAGATTTATAGATTGTTTTTCTTTTGCTATCTTTTTTACATTTTTTAGAATATTATCTTCATTTATATATGTTCTTAATGTGTACACTTAGATTTAATATTTTTCATGATAATTCTGCAAACATTTTTTTATACATTAAAAGTAAACTGTATTTTTCTTTAAATTATTATATCGCTTTCTCAGATTTCCTATAAAATTAAAATCACTTAAATTTTTGTTTTAGAAAATTTCCTCAAAATATTTTAGATTTAAGATACAGGAATATTGGTTTAATATATAATATAATCATTGCATCTTTTTTGAATTCTTTCCTAATATTCTATATTTTTATAATTTCTGCAATTTTTTTGTTAGAAAATCTCTTTCAACTAAAAAGTTTTCAACTCACGTTTTAAAACTTATAATATTTTTCACAATACATTTTTCAACACCCCATTCGTCAGTACAGTAAGTCCTTTTCTGCAAAACTCTTTAAGTTACTGCATAGTTTTGAGAGACTTAATCTTTTAAATAAAAGTAATAAATCAAGTTGAATCTTTTTTAGTAAAAAACGTTAATGTTGTATTATAGGATGATTTTTTTACATAAATTAGACCAAAAACTTGTAAAATATGTTCAAATTATTTCTAAAAAAATAAAAATATATATTTTAGCAAACTATCACATTTTTTTTGTTAAAGTTATTTTCAGATAAATCTTAAAATCATGCGCTTTCAAAGATTTTGTAAAGGTTTTGTAATTATTTAAGATTTTTTTCATTAAATTAAATAAATCTATTTTTTTGTCCTTGCCTCTATAAAGATTTTATAAAGATTTTTCAGAGTTGTTTTTCTGCTAATGTAGTCCCTAGTTTTATAAGATTAAAATGTGAAACAGGAACTCTATATCTGAGTTTTTTTTTTTAAATCGGTTCTCAAGAGTGATATAATTTGCCTTTTCAATGTTCTCGTTGTTTTAACGGTAAAAGTATCATTGTTTAAGTAGTAACAAATACATTTCATTAACATTTCATTAGCAACATTTGTAAGCGTTTTTTCTCTTATTTTTAGAAATTTAGACCCATTATTTGCTTTTTTCTTTAGAAATGTCTATGGATACTTGATATTAAGATATTTTTACATTACTTTGCTTTTTTTCTTGTTTAGCTTTGAGCAATATTTTTTTAATTTCTTAAATTTTTCTTGGTTATTGAAATTTTCGTTTTTTAGTAACTTCAAAAAACCTGAATTATTTTGTTATGCTTTTTTTCACAACTTCTTAATTTGTAGCAGTTTTCTAAAAGATCAAAACATGCTTTCTCCAAAAGTAGGAGTTTTTGTTTATTTTCCTTCTAATTATGATACATCAACTTTAAAACTTGTTTATTGATTACGTTTTTTTTGAATTTAATACACTTATTTTAAACCCTGTTTTTAAATCCTGTAGATTCTTTTGTTTTTTAATTTTTATACAAATCCTTAAATTTTTTTCATATTTTTTCTATGTTATTCATTTTTTAAAGACAAAATATTACAAAATTTTAAAAAAATTTATATTTGAAAAAATTCATATTAAAAATAGAAAAAAATGTATAAAAAATTTAAGACTAAAAATGCTTCTTTTTAAGATTACTATAGATTTTTCTTGTCTTTAAATTGCTTATCCTATTGTTCACACTATTGTTTGTATTTGTTCTTTAAGACATTAAAAGAAAGTAGCATTAGTAAATTTTTAGACAAATTGTTTCCATTTAATATCGTTAGTTAAAATACTAGAAAACTTCTTTAATTAACTATCAAAGATATAGTTTCATTAAAAAACATTTGATTTAATATTATTTTTCCATTAATGACATTCAATATCTTCTTAGGCAACAAATGAGCATTGCCAAAAACAAAAATACTTAATAAGTGAAGCTAGTATGGTGCATACAACTTTGTCAGGCAACTTTCTTGGGGAAACACTATGTAATAGATAAGATCAATAGATAAATACACAAGTGATGATAATGATTAAATTTATAATGTTATATGATTCCGACCCATATATATAATTATTACTATTAAAATACATATGCCTTTTTAGAGTATAAATAACCAAAAAACAAAATGACCTAAATATTCAATGATTTTTCAAAAACATATTCAATGATTTTTCAAAAACAGAACCAAATATAGTGCAAGATTTAGCCCTTAAATATCTTCCCACAAATCCTCTGTATAAGCCTCACATGTATTTCCAAGTTGTAGACATACCAAGATTGTAGGGACATCTGGATACTTTAAGCCTTTACATTTTTCGGCCAAGTGTTTTTGGCAACTTGATGAACTAAGTCCGGTAGTTCCTGAAATACGTTGATCTGCAGTGCCTAGTAGATTTTTAAGAACAGCTTTATTCCATGATTTATCATAGCACTTTGAAAAGAGTCTGTCGCAACCACGTTGAAGATCCTTTCCCCCAAAAATACCATAATAATAACAGTCCGCTTGTAGTTGTGTACATTCATGAGTGGTAAAGCTATAAGAAGACATACCTAGTAAATCACCTAGTTCTAGACCATCTTCAAGGTATTTTTTAGGAATTTCTCTAGGACTTCCAATTAAGTCCATTGAACTAAGTTTCTCTTGAAGATTATGAAGATAACCAGAATCACCTTTTAATCTTAATTCTAATCCTAAGCAAATTTTGTCTGCTAAACGACTCTCTTCTGGTGTGCAGAAAGGGAACAAAGTTGGGTCGCCGAGTAAAGGTACAAAGTCCCATGTAACATGTTCACATGCTTGTTTGGTTGGGGATTGTTTTGAATGTTGGAGCAAAAGACACAATGAAGGGTCCCATGGATTTTTCTTATTTGGATCAGGTCTACCCATATAAACACCATATTTTGTTAATGCTTCTTCTAAATCTTTTTTTGGCGTTGTTTCATACGAACTGCCTAAAGCCGGCGCAACGGGATAACCTTTGGATTCACAACTGGAGTGTAGTCTTTTGCAAAAAGAGCGTGTTTGATGATTACAATTTCGTCCATAATCAAAGCATAGATCAGTCAGACCACACATGGTTTTACTTAGCTCTTTTGTATTTAGCGTTTGCTGAGTTTCTAAAAATTCGCATGTAGATACGAATCCTTCCATAAGAGTTTGGCATAAGCTTTGTAAGTCTACACATAAGTCTTTGAACTCAGGAGTATAGTCACTATATTCATGGCATACTTGTTCCATTTTATTAACGCATTCATCATGCGTCCTCAAACGGTCTCCCCCCATATGTAGAAGAGCCTTGAGAGCAGTATGTTCGCGTGCTCCGTGGTAGCAGTTAAGCTTCAGTTGCTCACAAAGAGGACCAAGAGGAGGATAAACACCAGCAAGAAAATTGCATAAGGTAAGAAGGTGTCTACAGCTTCCAAGCGAGAATCCTGATCCCTGGATTTCTGTATAAAGCTGACGGGCTTCAGGCGCGGCAGTTTCCAGAAGATTTTTACAATGAGTAGCACTATCTAATTTAGGATGGCAGATATCACTCAGTCGACTATCTAAATTAGATAAATTTCCGTATCCTTTATGTAATTCTGTACATAGGCCATCTAAAAACAGACAGTCTTTTCCATCATGAAACACAAATAGAGCAGAAAGCAACCCATCACTACGAATCCTGTCAGTATTGGGTGCTCAATGATATTTAAAGATTTACATACCTTAATGGACCCAGTAAACGTGAATCTAGATCATCCTAAAAAGTTAAAAAGTTATAGAAAAAAAAGTAAATTACGTTGAATATATTACCAAAACTCCTTGAAAAAACAGGTATTGTACAAAAAAGAGTACTAAATATAAAAGCTTTCATTGATTAAATGAAAATATAAAACAAAATTTTTAATTAACAATGAATAACATGAAATTCTTAATATAAAAAGTACATGTGAATATTTCGGCCTTTAAAAAAAATAATATTTGGAAGATGACAAACGATGCTTACTTGGTGATATTCGTTATCATGTTATTGTGAATTATATAATATTTTTAAATTTTTATAAAAAATTTACCTTTTCAAAAACAGTTAGTTTACGTTTTAGATTGAACTATTTAAATGAGATTTTATAATTCGTGTTTTTCAACTTTGATTTATATTAGTTTATATATTAGCGTTTCTGTTTTTTCATATATTCTATATTTGAATGGAAAAATTACTTAGATCTAAATAAGATTTGTAATAAAATCATGGTTTGTTTATGATTTTATGATTTGGTTCAGATCCAACATTAAATATATAATTTTACACTTAAAATACATATCATTTATTTACGATTATATGATTTATATGTATTGTATATTTATATGTATTGTATTTTTTATTGCGATTGAAGGTTCACTTACATTGTGTATTTTTAATTATTACCTTCAATTAATTCAATGTACATTTTTGATCATTACGCTGTTTAAATTGATTTTGAATATAGTATAATGAATGTATATAATATCATGTGACTTCGATTTAATCTATATATTTTTTTATTTTTTCAAATTTACTAATGCTTGTAGCTTTTAAATATATTTTTTAATATTTTCTTATTATCCTTTTTAAATTTCTGTAATATTTTTTATTTTTTTTTTTTTTAATATTTTTTAATATTTTTTAATATTTTTAATATTTTTTATTTCTTACTAATAATATTCACATTTTCTTTTATAATTCCCTGGGTATATCTTCATTTTAATCTATGTTTTAGTAGTTTTTAGATAAACTAATTTCTTTTAAATTTATTAAGTTATTGCTTTTTTTTTTTGTAATTTTAAAGTTAATTTCATGTTTTTAATGTTGTTAGACTTTATTTTTATAAAATTTCAATTTTTTCGACTTTAAAGATGGAATAAACTTTAAAAAATAGTGTGTCCCATTGTATATTTATTCTAGATTTTTTAGATATTTTTCCTGATCTTTAAATTTTTCTAGAACTTTTAAAACTACATCCTTTAAATTTCTTTGATTACGTTTTTTTTTTTCTATCTTTTTGTTAACTCTACTTTGTTTTCATTATATGAAGAAATATATATTTTTATTAGATAAAAACTATAATAATTTAAAAAATGAAGCTCATTTTTGATTAAAGATTTTTGTCAAAAACTGTTATTCATTTGTTTTCTAATTTCTCTATTTTTCTTTATTTTAATTGATCTAATTATTAGTAGTATTATTATTCAATTATTACAAATATGTTTATAAGTTTAAAGTTTTTAAAAGGATTGTTTTTTCAGTTCATCTATTAATTTCACAATCTCGGTTGATAATATTATGTATTATTTTGTAATTCATTTAGGAATTTTATTGAGTTTAATCTTGGAATCTTATTTTTAATAATGTTATTTCTCTGTTATAATAAACATTCTGTTGAAATTTATACAGTAATTTCTCATATTTGAACTGTTTATTTTAATTATTCATATTTCTTTTTAACTCTTAGACTGATTCTGTATTTAAGAACTTTATTTTAAAAAATATTCCATGTTTTTCTTGAATTTTCTAGAATTTATATTCTAGGTAATACGTTCATAGAATTAGTGTATAATTTGACATAAATTTACAGTAATACAGCTTTAAAAAGGAACATAATGCTCTTGTATTATTATTCAATTGATATTTTTAAAAATATTGATGATTTTTAAAGTCTTTGTTAATTTTGAATAATTTTAGTTTTTTATATCATTTTGTAAATTATGCAGTACATAATATTCCTTTAATCTTTAATATTTTTTATATTTATTTAACAAGGCTAAGTTGAAAAATAATTAAATAATTTGTTTTTTAATGATTAG